TTCATATTGTACAAAAACACTTAGCAAGTAGGCACATTGTGAGACCCCTCTGAGAGCCCAGCAGAGTTCTTGCAGTTAAGCATCCACCCAACCTAATCCCCCTGTGTTCAGAGAGGTAATAGTAACCCGGCCTGGGTCCCTCAGATTGCCATATGTGGCCCCATTTCTGGGGTGAAACTTCCTCACCCTGAAAGCAGTGCTGCTGCCTATCTTGGACCCAAGTTGAGCCAGCATGGGGTTGGGGCTGAGACCCTCGGCCTGGGCTGGTGTTCCAAATCTCTGCAGCGTGTCAAGAACACCTGTTGTGCTAGGCGTGGTGGTCCACACTTGTAATCCTGGCGCTTGGGAGGCTGAGGCAGGACAACTGCAGCAAGTTCGAGGCCAGCCTGGGCTACATAGTGAGTTCAAGGCCAACCTGAACTACAGGGTGAGACTAAAACCAAAACCAAAACAACAACAACAAAAAGAAGAACTCGGTTGCTCAGAAATCAAAGATGAAAAGGCAACCCCAGGGACATTTAGCCCTCTGATCTTTGACAAAGAAGCCAAAACCAGACACTAGAGGAAAGTCAGCTTCTTTAACAAAAGGTGCCAGGAAAACTAGTTACACACATGCAGAAGATTCAATCTGTCACCCAGCACCAAAATAAAATCAAAATGATCAAATATACATTAAACTGGGTGTAGTGGTGCACGCCTATAATCCCAACTCTCGGGAGGTTGAAGCAGGAGGATCGCTGTGAGTTGGAGATCAGCCTGGGCTACACAGTGAGTTCCAGGTCTGTCTCAACTACACAGTGAGATCCTGTCTCAAAAAACTCCTGGGCTACACAGTGAGTTCCAGGTCAGCCTCAACTACACAGTGAGATCCTGTCTCAAAAAACACAAAACAAAACAAAACAAAACAAAACAAAAGACATATACATTGAAACAGAAACAATCTGCTGGAAGACAAAATAGGTAAAACTCTTCAAGAAATAAGCAAGAAAAGGTCTTTCTAAACAGAACCCCAGTGGCACAAAAAATAGCATCAAGAATCAATAAATGGGATCATATTAAATTAAAAACATCAGGGGCCGGGATTTAGCTCAGCGGTTCGGTAGCCTGCCTTGCAAGCACAAGGACCTGAGTTCAATCCCCGGTACAAAAAAAAAAAAAAAAATAAAAACATCAGCACAGCAGTCACTAGAGTGGAGAGGTAACCGACAGAGTGGAAAAATCTTTTTGCCAGCTACACCTGTGACAGAGGTCTAATATCTAGAATTCACAAAGAATTTAAAATCCAAGCACATAAAATAAAAGACACAAAAAAGGGGCTTCTGAAATGAACACACACTTCCCAGAGGAAGTACCAATAGCCAATAAATCCGTGCAAAACGTTCAGCAGCTCTGGCCATCAGGGAAATGTGAATTCAAACAACACTGAGTACCTTACTCCAGAAAGATTGGCTACCATTAAAAAACAAATAGCACCTGCCTTGCAAGTGCAAGGACCCGAATTCAATCTCCAGTACCCCCAAAAACAACAAAAACAACAACAAAAAAACCAAATAGCACAGGATTGCTGATAAGACTGCAGGGAAACATTAAAAAAAAAAAAAAAAAAAGACTTCAGGGGAAAAGGAACCCTTCTGTATTGTAAGTGGAAATGCTTCAAAAAACTAAACCTAGACATGCCTTTCGATGCAGCTGTTTCCTTTATTGGTATCTTCTCGGAACTGAGTTAAGGACGTTGCATTACGGCGATACATGCAGACCCGTGTTTACAGCAGCCCAATTCATGGTAACTAAATCTTGGAGGGAGCCTGTATGTTCATCACCAGATGCGTGGGTCAGACAACGCAGTATTTACACACAGTGGAGCAGTGCTGTGCCTTAAAGAAGGGCAAACTTGAACCCTTTGGAGGAGAACGGATGCATCCCGAGACCATATGTTAAGCAAAATAAATTAGACACAGAAGCATAAGTTACTGCATAGCTTCTGTGATATGAGAAATTTAAAGTATAAACAATTTTTAAAAAATAGCTGGGCAATAGGAAACAGGGAGACGGGTCTTTGGGGGATGGCGAGGGGATCCAGAGACAGAGGAAGGGTTAGGGAGGGAAGGGAAGGAGAAGAAACCAAAGTTAAGCTGTGTCAGTCACGTGTACCTTCCCCGAGAGGATGTAAGCATTGTGTACTGCAAACATGTTAATAATGGGTTGAAGACAGAAAGAAAGAGAAAGAGAAAGAGAAAGAATGTGTGTTCCTGGCACTCAGTGCCCCAGGTATGCAGTGGGGCTGGGGCAGGGTCTCCAGGCCCCCTTCCGGTCTCGGCTTTGACAAGGCTCCTGCAGCCCCAGCGCTTCCAGCCTCTAAGCTGTCAGTCTCCCTCCCGGGCTGGGCCTGGCCCTGCGGACAGAGTGTGCCTCCAGAACCAGCGCCTCACTCCTTAGGCATGCAATTAGCAGCCCCAGAACAATGCCCTTGTGTTAATCACTGCCTGGCAGGTAATTTGTTGCCTCTTTCACTGGAGCAACAAGCTCCAGCTTGGGAGCAGGGGAGGAGCTCTTGTCTCTCCCGGGGCGTTCTGAAACGCCTGCCCAGCTGGGGCTACAGGGGCCGAGGGAGCCGGGAGAGACGCCTGAGGTGACCTGGTGAGATCCTGAAAGACTTCCTGGAGCAGGTGTCTGCTGGCGAGACCAGAAGGGCTGGAATCAGGCCAGCTGCTGGGGCGCAGAGGTGTTCAGCACGGATCCCATCCCTGCCCTCGTGGGACCCAGAGTCTGTTGGAGACCAATAAATGGAGAAGCCACTGCACCCTGGGAGAGCCACGGGTGGCAGTAGACTTCCCGGCAGTGACGTGTCCACCGAGCACTGAGAAGTGAGCAGGAGTAGTGAAGGGACACAGCAGAAGGGAGGGACGGCACCGAGAAGAGAGGCCGAGGAGTAGGTGGGGATCCCGGCCCCCATCGGAAGGGTGACGTGTGGCAGGTTTGCTTTTCTGTGGGCGGCTGCAACACCATCTCCCCTCCGACTTGCTCTCCCTTCAGGGTGGCCTGGATCTATCCCCATCTGGTGCTGGGGCCTGTGTCCCCTGCCCTTGAATCAGCTGGAGCTTTGTCTGCATTTGATGCTGAGAGAGGGACACAGAGATGACAGAGATGTTTTGGGGCCTCCAAGCTCAGCGCAGAAGAATGACTTTCCTCCCGTCTCGTCAACTTGACATGGGCACCTTGGAACCTGCCCGCCATGCTGTCAGGAAGCCCAGATTCGCCTAAGAGTGACCTCAGTGTGTTCATCCATCAGCCCCGCTGGGACCTGCTGAGGGCCACATGGGAGCCAAGGCTTCTCCAGGATACTTGGGCTCTGGCTTCCCCGGTCACCAGTGTGCCCTGTCTGAGCTCCTGACCCCAGGCTGGGCACGGTCCAGTGGCTGTTTTATGCCACTGAGTTGGGGACGGTCCGGTAACCAGCAATGTATCCGCAGGGACAGCACAGAGGGAGGGGAGGAGTGCTTCAGGAAGAGGGTAGGAGGAGCCAAGACTGCAGCTCGTGTGTGTGTGTGTGTGTGTGTGTGTGTGTGTGTGTGTGTGTGTGTGTGTATGTGTGTGTGTGAAACACACCAATTTCAGAACCACAGCATCTCAGGGACAAAAGGGAGCCTCCAGCCCATTCATCCAGCAGTCCAGAGATCCTTGCTACATTGTTCAAAATAGTCTGGCAACAGAACTTTCAGGTCACACCTCCGGGCTGCCCTGGCCTTTGACCCACAGCTTCCAGCGTCCAGTGGGAATCTGCTCCTGGAAGCATCCCCAGGGGAGATATTTTCTGGCCTCCGAGTCCCATGGATCCTTCTGTCCCATTCCGTCCTGCAAGCCTCCATGGCCTCTCTCCCAGTGCCGTGGGCTTGGAGCTGCACTCAAGTTGGTGGTGGATCCCAGCTCTATCACTTGTGGCCGCAGGTGCCCTTGTGAGAGGGAGGGCGGGGACAACCATGCCCACCTTGCCCTAGCTGAGGACGAGACGCGTTAACACAGGCAGCCTTGAACACGAGGTCCGCTCACACGGCGGCGTGGTCCTCCCCGCTCGTGCCTTTCCTGGAGGTCGTGAGTCAGGGAGACCAGGGGCCGGGATGCTTTACTCGCTCTAAACTGCCAGAGCCACACGTGGGCACTATCCTATTATTAATTTGAAACAACTCAGTACCGGCCTCAACTGATCCGGGGACCAGTCAGTGACTAAGGGGACGAGGGCCAGCCTTCGGGGACACTGTGAGGGCATCGTTCCCTAGAGTCAAAGGCGGCTCTGCCATTCTGTCTCCCCCAGCCCGGCTCCTGGCCAAGTGGCCCACAGCAGCAACGACCCCCAACAGGTTCCCCTCAGGTTGAGGCCATGACAAGTGGCAGGGGCTACCTGACAGGGCTGAGGGTGCTGAGGGGCTGGGGAGAGGATGGGATCTGCGAAGTCCCCTCGATCTCCTCTGTAACAAGGCCTCAGTTGATACTCGATGTTGGGTTCCTTGGACATTACCTGCTCGGGGCAGAATCGTGTGCCAAGCACTGCTTAGGGCTCCACGCTCTCTCAGGTGACCCGCCCCTGCCAGACACAGAGGGGAAATGGAGGGTCGTGGGGCCCCTCAGAGAGGGGACAGGATCAGGGCCATCACCCCCAGTTCAGCCACAGCATCTTCCTCTTGAGTCTAATTTACATCTCAGAGTTGATGTAGTACCTCAAGCCTGAGAGAGGGCAAAACTGCCCATGTCACATAGCCAGGCAGTGGCAGACATGGAACCAAGGCTTGGTGGAATGAACGTTTATTTACTCTTTGTCTTCCCAGAGCACCAACCTGTTCTTTCCAGGGTCTCCATTCCCAGGTGGTGGGAGCAGGTAGAGCATGTGATCTAAACTCAGCCAATCAGTGTACACCATTCATCCAGACACAGGGATTGGCTCAACAGTGGCCATGTGACCAACGTGGGACTAATCCCAGTGAGGTTAGGACCTGGGCTGGGCATGCTGGGACAAAGCTGCTTTTCTTTTTTGCTGGAGGCGGAAGGGGTACTTATAGCCCCAGGAGCTACCTCGGTGTCCTGATGGGGAAGGCACCTCTCTGTTGCAGTTTCAGGAAGGTGGAGACAAATGTGGACGGTTGGTGATTTGTAACAACTGAATCCAGCTCAAGCCAAAACTGCTTATGGACTTTTTAAATAGAAAAATCTCTTTGTTACTGGGGTTAGTTTGAATCAGGTTTTTAGTTTATTGGAGTGGAATGCACCCTCCTGCTGACTAACAGGTCCAACCCCCAGACCTGGCTATTGCTGACTGGGTACTTCCAGGTTCTCAGTCCTTTGACCTTTGAGTCCCTCTCCCTCTTCTTTAATCCCCCACCCTCTAGAGATGCCATCACTGGGACCCCGTGGCCTGGCCTTGCAACTGCCTTTGACATTGGGGCCACCCACCACCCCAGAGTCATGAGCCCCAGGCTCCACAGCCCCTGAGTCACTCACCTTCAGAAGCTTCTGCACCTGTGCAACAAGGAAGATGCCTTTTGCACCAAATTCCCCTTAGCTCTGGCTTGGGCGGCATAGAGAAAGCTCAGAAGGGGCTGCCCCCTAGTTGGTCAGGACCCAGCTGTGCTGCAGGATTTGGAAGTCACCCAGGGGCTCTTATCACATCTCCTCTTGCTTCAGTCAAGCGCGGCAGCAAGGATTTACTGCATTCCTCTCGTAGTGTCAAACTTTCAGGAAGCCCTTCACTTATGCTTTGTGGCCACCCCGGGCTACCATTGTGGACCTGGGGTTTGAGTCCCAGATGTGCCGCACAATAGCTGTGCGACCTTGGCTAAGTTACTTCGCAGTATTTCAACTCTGTCCCCTATAAAGTGGAACACTGAGGCCGGGGATTTAGCTCAGTGGTTCCGCCGTCTGCCTCGCAAGCACAAGGACCCGAGTTCGATCCCCGGCACAAAAAACAAAACAAAACAAAAAATAAATAAATTGGAAAACTGAATGGTAGACTTTCTCCCCCCCTTGTGGTACTGAGGAATAAACTGAGGGCATTCACAGTGAGATACATTTCCAGCCCTATTTTTATTTTTTGTTTTGAGACAGGGTGTCATGAAGACAATGAGATGCCTAGCCTGAACTCAAACTTGGGATCCTTTACAGAGCGCTGGAATTACAAGCATGTGCCGCTACAACAGACCCCAGACTGAGGAGTTAATACACACGGAAGGCCGGGAACTGCACACCTGACCCCGAGTAAGTGCATTATAATGTTAACTCTTATTGTTTCCAACTTACAGGTGAGGAAACTGAGACTCACAAAGCATGAACAAGCTGCCTAGAACCCACAGCTAAGTAAGCCAGGTACGTTGGATTCTGGAATCAGTGACACATTGTATTACCATTTGAAGTGATTTCCCACACGTGCCGCCTGGCTGGGGCCAGACAGGGCCCAGGTATGACAGGAGTCAGACAGACGAGGGAATCCAGTTGTGAAATTTTAGGGGAAGCTCTAGAGATTGTCCAGTTTCTCTGTCTATCTAGAGATTGTCCAGAGGCTCTATGCTGTCCAGTTTGGTGGCCCCTGACCGCAGATGGCTTTTGAGCTGGGGATGTGTCACGAATCTAAACAGATTGTGGTGTCGAAGACGCTCTGATGTTCAGAGACTTGGTATGAAAAAAGAATGTAGATCTCAATAATATTTATACGCTGGTTAACACTGATAATATTCTGGACGTCTGGGTTAAACACTGTATCGTTAAAATCAACTACACTTGTTTTTGCCTTTGTATGTGGCTGCTAGGAGATGTACGACCTGCTTCGTATTTCTGTTGCACACGCTCACTTAAGCCATTGTTCCATTTTATGAATGAGACGTCAGGGGGAATGGGATGGGCCCCCAGAGTCCTCCCGGGGGCTCCCCCAGGCTGTCTGCGGCTGCGGGACATGAGGGGACTTGGCACGTGGAGTAGGAGGTGTGTGTCAGAGAGCTCCAGGCCTCGGTGGCTCTGTCCTGGCTCCTGCTGGGGGCTCCTCCCTCACACCTCCTCACTCTCACCCACACGGTCCTCTGCCCAGATCCAGCATCGGAGTGACCCGGGGATTTCTGAGGCCACCTGATACTGCAAGTCACTGCTCCACTTAAGGGAATCCCCGCCAGACACTAGACAGAAAGCCCAGTCCTGCTCGCAGAGACCTCTCGGCACTCGGGTGCCATCTTCCCTGTCACTTGGCACACGCCTGGCTCCAGCGCGCTCTTATTCGAGTCTTCCCGGTGTCTTAACCCTCGTCCATCCCACTGCTGCGTGGGCCTCCTTCTGGTTGGCTGGCTCCCCAGGGTTTTCTCAAGAACTGGCTGGGTGTGGAGGTTGTTTACCAACAACACGGAACCTTCTGGAAGGAGCTGCAGCTCACCGGTCTGGAGGAGTGATTGAGTAGGGCCGCCCTCACCCCGGGGTCTCCAGAGCCCTGGCTTCCAGGTGCTCCATCCAGTCCCCGGGGAGAGAGGAGCCGCTTTCTAAGAGCACCTTGGAGATGACGGTGGAGGCCGTTCTTTAAAATGCTTTCTGTGCCTCGTTTCTGCCCGTGAGATGCACGATCCTCGGCGTGTGGGGCTGTTTGTGAGTGGGGAACGGCGGCAGGAAAGCTCCTGGGCCAGGACGGGCACCGGGAAGGGCAGCTGCCGTTACTGCTGCACGGATGCATCCATGGAGGGGGGACAGCCCCTCTGAGGAATGACAGGGCGACACCTTCTTCTGCCCAGCAGGACCTCAGGGTCACTGTAGACCTTCAGACCTTTGCCCCGAGCGTTGGTCACTTGTGCAGCCCCTCATATGTGGTGCCTCTTGTCGGAGGATGACTTGGGTCCCCAGGAGTGAGGACTAATACGTTTGTCTGAGGGGGGGGACACTTGGGGGAAAAATGCAGATGCTGAGGAGTTGGTGGGAGACTGGGGGAGGTCTCTGTGGATGCCTGAAGATGACCCCTGGATAGGGCCACTGGCCGTGGGCCGAGCCCCCTCTCTGCCACAACCAGCCTGAGGCGCTAAGTCCCCCTCTACCGCGTGGGCTGCACGGGCTTGGTTGTACCTGTTCCTTCTCTGAGCCTCAGTTTCCCCATCTGCAATACTGTAATTGCATTCCGTCTCACTGGGCCAAGAGTGAAAGACTTCAAAGAAACAGTACACATGGAGTTTCAAAAACCATTGCTGGCACCAACCCAAAGCGTTTGAGTCTCCCTCCCAACACATGTCCTCTGCCTGCACACTACCTAAAAACCAGCGTTTTGGGAAACATCTGCCTTTGTGGTAGTGAGTTCCCCGTCTACTGTAAGTATTCAGGAAAAAGCTGAAAAAAACCCAACAGATTATGAAGCCGATTTCAGGCATGGATAGGTGCTTTATGCATGTCTGTTGAGTGAATAAATAACCATGGTTTCTGTACACAGGAGGTCGTTCTAGAACATGGCTGAAACTTGGCAAAACATTAGAATCATCCGGGAAGTAAAAACTATAGCTGCCTGCCTCCCACTCCCTGGAATCCAATTTAGGCAGTGTGAAGGCAACCAGAACATGGAATTTTTTTTTTTTTCCCGAGACAGGGTTTCACTATGTAGTCCAGGGTATCGCTGAACTCATGGTGATACTCCTGCCTCAGCCTCCCAAGTGCTGAGATTACAGGTGTGCGTCACCACCCAGCTTGAACACTGATATATATATTTTTTTGTTTTTGCTTTTGGTCCAGGGATCGAACTCAGGACCTTGCGCTTGTGAGGCAGGCAGTGGCACCACTGAGCTAAATATCTGGCCCAACACTGATATTTTTAAAGTTTGCCGGGTACTCGCTGTTGGCCGAGTTTGAGAACCCAGAGCACTAGATTTTTTTCTAACTTTGAGATAAGATCTTGTTACAGTGCAACGTGGTGACTGTAGTCAATAACAGTGTATCTTGGATACACTAAGAGATATACACACACAAAATAAATCTGCAGGATAATACACAGGGGAATTACCTCGATTTAACCACCCTGTGTATACCCCCTGTGTATGCGTAGACCCAAACATCGTACTGTACACCATAAAAACAGACCTTGTGAAGTTGTCTACACTTCAGCGTGCAGTTGCACGGAAGTCCCTCACACACTAAATGGCAGTTAATAAATGGCTAAATAGCGTGGCCTCAGATGTCAGGTTCAGAGAGGGTTTTCTCTGTACCAGGCAGTGTTCAGGAGTGTCAGCCCGGCCGTGACACCTCAGGCGGATGATCTGTCAGTACCCACATTAAGTGGGGCAAGAGGGTGCCTCAGGCACACCCTGGGTCCAGAACTTTTGGGACCACAGCATGAAGGCAGGAGCCTCCAATGTGATGGAGGTGGTCTGGCCCCCTGGTGCGTGGAGCTCCTGGTCAGATGGGGAGGCAACTTCCTCAGCAGGGTGACTATCTCTGCGTGCAAGCTCCCCGCCTCACCCAGTGTTTCCAGCTCACGGCGAGCTTTTGTACCCCCATGGGCATTGGGGAATTGGTCTAAAGAGGGGAGGTGTGGCCTAGCATGCACAAACTCACTTGGGCCCGTCTCGCGGAACTGTCTGGAGAAGCCCTCTCCCTGGGGTTTTGCGGGGAGATGGAAGAGGCGCCACTACAGAGCCTCTTCAGGGAGGCCTTCCTCTGACCCTTCCGGGGCCCCCACCCTCCAGTGCCTGGGTGGGGACAGGGAAGCTTGGTCCCCGTTCCCTGGGGACCTCCTGGGCTACTGTGAGGGTCTACAGGGCCTTTAGCGCGCCGTCATAGTCACGGCTTGAGCTGTCCGTCTCTTCTCTACAGTGAGCACGCCTGGGTGGGCTGACTCTGTTTTACTCTTCCGTGGCTCCCCAGAAGGTGTCTTGACTGACTGTCACACCACCCAAGTGAGTGGCAGGGGAGGAGGTGCCGCATAACACACGCGTGAAGCCGCGTGCTCGTTCCCCCAGACAGCCTGGAAGCTCTCCTGCCCGCCTTCCGCAGTCCCCACGCCCCCAGGAGGACAGCAGGCCCTGGTCCAGGTGTGGCCTGCCATCAGCCTTGTGACAGTGCCTGGAGACTAGGGGGAGCCCTGAAGCCTGCAAGAGCTCAGTGGGAGTCTTGTGGGGCAGAGGATGGCGTTTCCGGGGTGTCCTCTCCTCTCCCCTCTGCAGAAAGCCACACCTGGCCAGAGCTGGGAGGAAACGCACCCGGGTAGAACCGCAGTTACCTCGGAAAAGGGGGAGGAAGTGGCATGTTTTTGCTTCGTTACTCTTTCCCAAATTCCCAGGCATGACCTTGGCAGTGAAGCAAACCGGAGCACTTGGAGTCCTGCGCACTCTCCTGTGATGCCCCTCGAGGCCCTGCCCATTCTGTCTGGCTTAGCTTAGTGTCTTGAGACTCCGTGGACCTTGTTCCGGGCCCTGCCAGCAAGCAGCCTCTGCTTTCCTGTTGGTTTGAGCGTTGCTGGGGGGTCAGGGTGCAAGCGCAATGCCTGTTGCTTCCCCTGGGTGCTAACACAGAAGTTACGCGGTGTCACTGTCTGACTCTGTCCCCAGAGTTCTGCGTGGTGCCAATCGCTGAAATCCCAGACTGGCAGAGGGCGGAAGCTGCCGCTCACCTGCAGCCTGCAGGCCTCTCACCACTGCCGGAAGGACTCTGAGCTCGTGTCTCCACTGGGTGCCAATTCTTTCTTTGCTTCATGAGTCCATTCGTTCCTTTCTCCATCCGTGTGCCTGACCTCTGCTGTGCCCCTCAGGCCGACGGTAACAGCCCAATGCAGCCATTGCCATCTCCTGCCTGGCCCTCTCCCTGCTTTTCCAGTTTACTTTGTGGCCTTCCCAGAGTGCTGCCCTCCCCAGAAGATTTGGTCCACACCTCTTCCACTGTGACTGGGGCCGAACATTAAATCAGAAAGGCTGTAGCCGGGCTCATGCCTGTCATCCCAGCACTCGGGAGGCTGAGGCAGGAGGATCGCTGTGAGTTCGAGACCAGCCTGGGCTACATAGTGAGTTTCAGGTCAGTCTCAACTACAAGTGAGACCCTGTCTCAAAAAAAAAGGCTCTGGGCTGAAGGGACACATCACCTGGCCCAGGAGGAAGATGGGGAACAGGTTATCCTGGTAAAATGTGCAGCACCTCTTTAAGGAAGAGAGCAAGAACACGGACGGGGTTGTCCTAGCCTTGGGGCCACAGGGCAGGCGCCCAGAGAAGAGATGCCTGCTGGAGTCTTCACTGGAGTGAGGGAAGGAAATCAGGCTGGGTGGGGTCATCACAACTGTCTTTGAGCGGTGTCCATCCTGTCTGTCCATTCTTCCTTCTGCAGCCACTGAACCAGGCCACCAGACGTGGACAGAGGCACAGGGAGCTGTCTACAGCAAGTGGATGCTGTGCTGAAACGCGCAAGCTAAAGCCAGATTTCGGGGTCATCTGCGGCCTCAGTTATCCTGGCTTTCTTTTATCTCTCCCATCTCGCTCTGGCTTTGTAGCGGGAGTTAACTCGAGTATCCACCACGCTGCACTTGGCGGGGCCTTGGCCGCGGAGAGATGGCCCCGCCGTCCTTGCCTCCTTCTTTTCCCTCCCTGGACTCCCTCTGGCTGCCCGGTCAAGGTAGAGGAGCCAGCTCACCCAGGATGGGTGTGAGAGACAAGACAGCCGTCTCCAGAGGCCGCCTCTCAGGGCGGTTTGTTTGGTTTTGAGAGTAAATAAATAGCAACCGATTCTTTCACCCTATGGCAGGCTCCCACAAGGTGTTGACAAAGTGTTCTGTGCAGACAGGTGGAGCTCAAAGCTGGGATGGGATCTGAACAGCACAAAGGAGAGGAAAGACCCCGGTGGCTGAGGGGTGGGGCTCCGGAAGGCGTGGTGAGGCTCCTGACTCCTGGTGACCACCCACTTCGCAAACTAGTGTTTCGCTGGCTCTGGGCTTGAGTTGAGAGGATTTGGGATCTGTGGGGCGTCCTGAGTCCTGTTTAGGGCCGCGGTGATCAGGTATCAGATATTGAGGTGTCAGGTGACCTGATTGGGTATTGAGGCAGCTGGAGGCCAAGGCAGACCCGGGACCTGGCCATACCGGGGCGGCTCCAGCTGTGCTGGGCCCTGGTGACCCAGGAGACAGCTCTGCCAGGGGTGTCTGAAAGCACGGCGGGCCGCAGACTCAGCCAGCCGGCCAGAGGCAAAACGAAAACCTCGGCCTTGTTTGAAAGTTAGTAAGAATTTCAGGCTTGCTCTTTTCTCTTCCCTGCACTATGAAGCCCACTTCCAATCTGCCGGTGTCTCCCTTTCCCCTCCCGCTGCCTGGTCACAAGCAGACACGCACTTGTCTACAGTAGAGAAAGGCTTCTGCACTCCATTTTATCTGATGGGTAATTGAGTTTTCACTTTATTTTGCTCCATTTCATGATAACTTATTCTTCTCAGATTACTTGAAAGTATAATTTTGTTGATTTTGTAGAAATAGCAACAAGTATCCCCTTGCCCAGCGCACATATATATTTAAACAGTTCTGAAAATAAAATGCATATTACAATTTGGAGGGTCATGATCTATTTTACAGCTTTTTTTTTTATGGAACATAATTTAAATTTACACAGCATAAGGCTGGGGATTTAGGTCAGTGGTTCTGCCGCCTGCCTCTCAAGTGTAAGGTCTCAAGTTCAAGCAACAGTACCCCCCACAAAAAAAAATACATATATAAAACAACAACAAAAATAATAATGATTCAAAATTTAAAAATAAAAACTATATTTACACAGCATCTTTAGCAACACATTTTTTCAGAATCTATATGAAAGGATCCAGGATTTTCTAATCTTAAGGCAGAGGGCTGCCTGACACTTGAGAGGATTACTGTTTCCCAGAGTGGCGATCGGGCCTCAGAGCGCTCTTTGGTGTGAATCCTTATGCTTTGTGAGACCCTTCCTTATTTTAGGGTTGGATTATAAAAGTCATCACTAGACTGTTAGATAAAACCGGAGGACCTCAAGGGCTCAGCCTATGGTTGCATGTATTTCAGTAAGTGGAAACCGACTTCCTCTTTTAGAACCCTCGGGTTGGTTTGTTTGTTTGTTGAGACAGGGTCTCACTATGTAGTTGAGACTGACCTGGAACTCACTATGTAGCCCAGGCTGGTCTCGAACTCACAGTGACCCTCCTGCCTCAGCCTCCCGAGTGCTGAGATTACAGGCGTGCGCCACCACACCCGGTTTAGAATCCTGTTTTGAAAGTTATAAAGCAGATAATACAGAACATTTTTCCACATCAGAACCATCAGAACGATGGTGTGTTCTAATGCTTTTATCCATAGACTTTCTTCCTTTGAAGAAAAAATAACAAAGACATGTTCACTATTGACTCTCTTTGTTTCATAGTATGGGGAGGATTCTTCTTCACCCAGAAATGAAGGTTAAGTCTGTTTACAGGGGAAGAACCTGGTCTTGTCTTGCCACTCACTATCAAAGAAATGTATTCTGGTGCCTTTTAAATTATTTTCCTGTGGATTATCCCCCTTCCCCCCTTTATTTCTTTTGCCTTAGAAGAAATTTGTCCCAACAATTACGTACATGTACCAGTGCCCAGCAATGAATGTAATCATGTGCTAATAAAAATGTGATATGGTCGAAAGGAAAAAAGAATTTCAGGATGGTGAACACTGAGCATGAAAGCAAACGCAGGCCCTTCTGAGCCCAGTGGGACGGTGGGGGTCACAACCATGAAGTCGGCCGCTCCGGTTTGCTAGGGAGTGGCTGAAACCAGTCCGTCACGGCCGACATCGTGGGTGGGCAGCTCGAAGTAACAAGATTCCTGTGCCCTGGTTCTGGAGGCCACAGGCCTGCGGTCAGGTGTCAGCAGATTGGCACCTTGAGGTGCCGAGAGGGAGCAGCGCCGGGGCTCTGTCCGGGCCTCCAGTAACTGCTGGTGCTCCTGGCTCGTAGATGCTCCACCCGTCTCTGCCCGGTCATCTCATCGCCTTGGCTCTCAGCAGGCCTGCCTGTGCCCGGGTCCCCTCCCTGGAAGGACCCCAGTCTTATTGGATTCGAGGCCACCCAGATGAATTCACTTGAGCTCGATCGTCTCTCTCTGTAAAGATTCTGCAGTCCGGGGTTCGGACCCCAGCAGATCTTGGCTCTCAGCAGGCCTGCCTGTGCCCGGGTCCCCTCCCTGGAAGGACCCCAGTCTTATTGGATTTGAGGCCACTCAGATGAATTCACTTGAGCTCGATCGCCTCTGTAAAGATTCTGCAGTCCGGGGTTCGGACCCCAGCAGATCGTTTTAGGGGCACACCCTCCACCCCACAAGACGGAACCTGTCAAGACACCTCTGTTGGTCCTGTCCTGCATGGTGGACGTGAACACACCTGCCCTGTGCCCAGCTCCCTCCTGAGGTAGGCAAACTTGTCGAGGAGCAGCCTTGTGTCCCCACAAAACAGGAGGCAGGGTGGGTGCTCAGGACCAGGTGACCAGCAGACCCTCGTCCTGCCTTAGAGCCTGGAGGTCCCCAGTGTGATTTTGGGAGGGTACAGACCCCCGTGACCTCCCAGCTGGTCATAGCACAGCCTACCTGACGGCTCAGCTCTGTGGCTGTGGCCCTGCCCTTCCCACCCTCCCTGGGGACCCCGGAGCTGCCACGCCCGGGATTGACGGCCACAGTGTCCCCTTCTCCAGCAAGAAGCTGCGGAGGAATTGCGTCACGCATCTGTCTCCTGGCCCTGCCACGCACTCGCGCTGGCTCTTCCTCTGCAGAACGAAGGCTCTGCTGTGACCTCCGGGAGTCGTGCTTCCTACGCACCCAGCAGGGTCTAGAGCTCTGTGTAAGTCAGGAGGAGGCAGAGTCTCGGCGCTCAGTCTCCTGGCTCTTGGCGGAGACACCAAGGCCCCCTCTCCGTGCCGGGCGGATGTGTTTGGGGCCGGAAGGTTGGGGCAAGGCACCACCTCGGGGCACGGTAGTCCTTTGGCCCTCAGGAGGAGCAGGCAGGGTCCTGGTCCCCACCGGGCTCATGCCTGGGGCTCCCGTGCTTTGGCTCACGCCAAGGCTGGGGTCACCATTCTTTCTGGATGAGCATTAATTACCTCCGAGAAAAGTGCCAGCTACGGGATTTAAGCCGCCCCCCACTCTGCTTTCCCGGTTTTCTGAGGGATGTGCTCAGCAGGGACAGGTGAGAGGGAGGCTGCTGCCTTCTAAGGGCAAGGCGGCTTCCTCCCTGACTCACCCCCTTGCTTTTCGGTGGCACAGGAGCAGGCACCCTGCCCGTGGGAGCTGTCCCCTTGAGCGGGTGCCGCCCCTCCCCGCCCTTCGTGTTTGGGAGGCTGACTCAGCCCTGAGGTCACCCTTGGCTTGGTTCTCACACAAGCATCTTCTTGCCCAGCCTGCTGGGTTCCCACTGACACCCGGGCTCCACCCGGGGTGGCACGTGGGCTGGTGCCCCGACAGGGTGGTCCGTGCGCGGTGCTGGTCCCGGCCCCATCTGGGATCCTGGCTTTGTGGGGTCGCACGTGGAACCTCTGCGGGCTGTGGGTACCAGGCAACAAAGACAAGGAAGACCAGCCCCGCTGGGCCAGAGCAAATGGTGCCCTGGACTCTGCCCAAAGCCACCGGGACAGTGGGGAGGGACAGCCCAAGGGTCAGGGACAGCTTCCCTAGAAGGCAGTGCTTGGAACTGGTCTGGATGGTTCACCGGGAGCGATGAGGGAAGGGAAAGGCGAGGCGAGGCTGGGCAGCGTGCGCCGTTCCCCATTCTCGGATCCGGACTCTGGGGCCACGGAAAGGCTCGAACCAGAGAGTGACATGGCTGGGTTTCAGATTTTAGGTCAGTGATGCTGGCAGCAGGGGGGAGGCCACACAGAAGCCAGTTGTCACCGTAGTCCACGGGAGGCGTGGGGGTCCAGGACCAGGCCAGGGCAAGGGACCAAGAGGAGGGCTTGGATTTCGAAAGCTCAGGGCTCCCAACCACAAAGCGAAACAGCTGTCCTTTGAGCCGTGGGCCCTCCCCTGTGTCTGGCCTCAGTGCCTCTTCTCCAGGATTTTTGGCCCATCCAGTGCATCATCTGCGCCCCACCACCCACCTTGCGTTCCTGTCCACGCTCTGTGTGCCCCGCCCGTCCCCTGATGGCTGACAAACCATGGCTCCAAGAGAGTGCCGCTCCCAGGCCTGGTGACCCTACCCTAGCTGTCCAGTTTCAGCAGGGTGGGACGGCTCGGACCCGGGAGCTTGAAACCTCTCCTGTAGTCCCCATCCATGGGCGTCATCATTGGCGGGGTCAGCCCCAGGTTTCCTATCTCCCCCAGGGGCCTCGGGCACGTGGTTGGACCACTGCGCTCTTGGCTCTCACCATTGTCCCTGGGCAGGTGCCAAATGCACACGAGGCCGGGCGGAGGCGTTTGATCCCGAGATCTGACTGGGAGCAAAGCCCCTGCTCCCTTTGCCTGTCAGTTACTGGGCACCAGAGGATGTGGGACACAGACTCCTGACCTCCCACGCCTGTCTGCTGGGACGCCTCCACCCCAAAAGTGAGGCGCCCTCTTCCCGTGTCTAACTGGCAGTTGCTTGACGGCACCCGTATGTGTGGCTGGCCTGGAAGGCTGTGCGCAGCCACGGGCTCCCTGTTCCCCTGACGCCCCTGGGGCCACAGCAGGCACCGGCCTGTGCTTCCGCCTCTGCCCCATCTGCCCTTGCTGGAAAGCAGTGATGACAATAAATACAAAACAAAGCCACACAAAGCACGAGACCTATGTGTCGGCCGTGGGAGTAGCTCTGTGTTCCTGGCTCAGAGCTCCGTCCACGCAGTCACCCTCTTGGTCTCTGAATGAACAGAGCAGGCAGGGGGAGGCTGGAACTCTTTCACCCTCGAGGATTGTGCCAAAGAAATCGTTAGGCTCACATCACGAGCACTACCTGTCCCTAGAGGCGACGTCCTAGACCCATGCACAGTAGCAGGAGGTCCATGTTGTTCCGTGCATGCAGAAGCCGGTTACTGGTGAGGGAGGGTGTGAGGCTGCCCTGGAGGGCACCACGCTATCCACACCGGGAGAGCCGGGAGAGAAACCCTCTGTTGCACGTGTTGGCTATTTCTGGTTCACTGGCGTCCTTACCTTGTCGTCTGTGTCCTCCTCGGTTGTTTAACTCCAGGCTGCTGCACGTAGCCCATGAGCCGAGCAAGGATATGCTACAGCAAGCATGTGACCCACAAAACCTAAATTATTTAGGCCCTTCACAGGAAAAAATTCTGCCAGCCTTTAGTCGAGGAAAAAAAAAAAAAAAACGAGTGTTGGCATATGTTACTGCTCTAATAATAAAAGAGGCAAAATTTATCATTCCTGGAAGGTCATTAATTTGTCCTTAGCTGAAAAGGGGCAGCTAGAATTGTTTCTCCCCATCGACACCACATCTATGGGCTGGATGCTCTGCTGACTTCCTTCCTTCCGTCCCCTCTAGCACCTCATTTTTGGGGGTCTCCCCTCGCCCAGAGATGGTGGATGGCCCCAGGCTCTCTATGCCTGCTCACTCCCACCTCTCATCCATCTCCACAGACTCCTGAGCACCTTCCTGTGCCAGAGGCTGGCACTCCAGTGGGGAGTCAG